AGGTTTGCACACCAGTGCTTGGGCTGGGGGTGGAGGGGGCATCAGTCCTACCCCAGGAATCACCCCTCTACCTGTTTTAGCATGAATGGTGGAAAAAAAGAAAAGGTAAGAGAAATCCACACTAGTTTATTAAAACCAAATAACTTTTACATTGCTCTACCATGTTCTGTTCCTCCTTTTCTTTCTTTCTTTTTTTGGTTTCTTTTGTGTTGTTGTTTTGTTTTTTTGGGTCACACCTGGCAATGCTCAGGATTACTCCTGGCTCTGCATTCAGGAATTACTCCTGGCAGTGCTCAGAGGACCTTATGGAAAGCTGGGGTTCGAACCCAGGTTGGCCACATGCAAGGCAAACACCCTCCCCACTGTCCCATCACTCTGGTCCTGTTCCTCCTTTTCTTATGTGCCAGTGAGACAAACACACACATATACACACAGGTGGCCTTCTGATGACAAATAAGCAGTAGGATGATAATGCAATTCCACTGGTAGTTTGCTATTGGCTTTTTTACTCTAAAATGGGAAGAAATCTCATAGTTAGCTCCATCCCCTGGCTCATAGGGCCTTAATATAGACACAGAGACATCATCTATGGTTCCCCTGTACTATACGGAGTGTGCCTCCAGCCAGCTCCCTCCTCTCCTACTTGCTCCCCCATATTCATTAGTGGGACAGGTGTCAAAAGAACCCAGCCGACCCCACACTCTCCACGGTCTCTCACGCTCAACCTCCATGTCAAGGACCAACCTCATTTTGGAGGCTTTTGTGCTCGGTAACATCCCTCCACTGGAGCCTATTCCTGACAGTTACCCTGACATATCGCATAAATATTTGTCAAAACAATTATTGTCAATGCCAATGTAATTATCCAGATTCAATTCGATGATTCAACTGGAAAATTACTTTTTGTGTCCCCCTAATAAAAATTTTCCAAGTGCGAGTGCATCTCGTGCTGACGACTCGGTGGGCGTGTGCTAATTAATTACCCTGGGTAAATTCAGCTCTGTGCTAATCACCTCAGGAAGGTGCCAGGCCTTTAAGGGGATTTTGCTCAGCGCTTTCTTCTCCTGTCGTTGTTCTTCCTAATTTCTCCCCAAAGAGCACCCCGTAATATGAAATAAACAGTAAAACCCAATGACGCTTGGCTGACGCCTTGGATAAAAAGGTACACGCTCTCGGGAATCTCGGTTTTAGGTTAGGAATAAAAACAAAGGCAAAGATGGCTTTATTGTTGACGACTCCCTGTGAGGGCTTCCTGATAGCTCCTTTGCAGGGAAGATCTGTGTTAGAACATGCACTTAATGGCCCCAAATAGTCATTGGTTCCTGGGGCAGGGAGACCCACTTCTCCCTCCACAAGCTGATTTAAATGCTGCTGTTAGCCAGCACTTAGGGGGTATACTGCCCTCTGGGAATGGCCTCCTGGGCACCCACTTTCTCTTATTTTCTGGCTGTTGGTGATTCTTTTTTTTTCTTTTTAAGCCCAGGAAAATTGAGGGCTATGAAGAAATAAATACTGGCAAAAATATTAGGGGTCATTTGCTGCCAATCTTCCCAGGAGACCAAGGGGCTTGGGACCCACATCCCTTTGGCTTGAAAGTCTGTACAAAGGAATAAAGTAAAATTTGGTGTGTGGGGGGGCGGGGGGAGTGGAGGAAGGTCTCCCCAGCAGAGCTGGGAGCCAGTAGCCACTCCCCACAATACTTGGCCTGTTAGTGATGAGAAAAGCTCAGGATGAGAAAAGCTCAGGCCTGGTGCTGGTGTTGGGGTTACCAGACATAGGCCAGCGATAGTTGGAAGAATAGGGTTTGTTGCCTTGGGGATAAAAACTCAGGATTCCTGCATACGCAAGAAACTCATTGCACCCCTTAAAGATATCTCACTGACCTCTAAAGCAAAATTTTTTGTACCTAGATATGCTTAATAAATAGTGGAGGGGTTGGAGAGACACTACAGTGAGGAGGGCGTTTCCCTTGCATGTGGCTGAACTGGGTTTGACCCCCAGCACCCCATGTGGTCCCCCTGAGCCCTGCCAGGAGTGATTCCTGCTCACAAGCCCTGAGCACTGTTGCATATGGCCCCAAAATATCTAAAATATTAAGAATAATAAAGTGGATTAGCTGAAAATGGGCTCTTAAAGCTTTTAGTTAAAAAAACTATATTTATTGCTGCAGAGATGCCTCTGGACTTTAAGCCAGGCCGATTTCACTGGGGGTGCCTCAAATGGGAGAAGGTTTCATTCCTCTACCTGCCCCCTAAGAATCCTAGTGGCCGCCAACTTTCAGAACTTAATGAGAAGCTCAGGTACATGGGTTCAGGAATGGCAAACTCCAAGCCTCGAGGGAAAGGGGATGGCTCGGTCCTTCTCATCTCTTCTTCCCCATGGGACCCTGGAGGTCACTTTCACAAACTGCCTCTGGTTGCTAATTAAACGCCTTAATGGCCATGATCTAGAAACACACGAAAGAATCTCAAAACTGAGCAGTTTACTGCAGAGATTTCTCCAGACCCAAATTATCTAAAATTTTCTAATTCCAGAAGCGCATGGCCACTCTTGTGGCAGTGCGACATCTTATGCTATGCATAACAAGCACTGCACTGTAGTACTGTCCTCCCGTTGTTTATTGATTTGCTCCAGTGGGCCCAGTAACGTCTCCATTGTGAGACTTGTTGTTACTGTGTTTGGCATATCAAATACGTCACGGGTAGCTTGCCATGCATAACAAGCAATACAAAATAAATTATCTAGCATCTGCTTTTTCAACAGGTTTGAGTAGTGGTGGGAAAATTCAAAATAATGGTGGTGAGACTAGTGTTGAAATGTTGAATGTAATCTATTATTGTGAGTAACTTTGCTCGAGCGGGCCCAGTAACGTCTCCATTGGAGACTTTGTTGTTACTGTGTCTGGCATATCGAATACTCTCGGTAGCTTGCCGGGCTCTCCGAGAGGGGCGGAGGAATCGAACTCGGGTCGGCCATGTTGGCCGCATGCAAGGCAAACGCCCTACCCACTGTGAAATAAAAAAATTAAGAAAAAAAGATTTTTTTTTGACTTTTTGGGTGACACCCGACGATGCTCAGGGTTACTCCTGACTCTGCACTTAGGGAATTACTCCTGGAAGTGCTTGGGGGACCATAAGGGATGGAAGGGATCGAATCTGGGTTGGACGTGTGCAAGGCAAATGCCCTACTCACTGTGCTATCGCTCCAGCCCCTAAAGATTTCTTAATGGAAGTCACATTGGACTACAATATTTTCAAGGCCTGAGGTGTACGACCTTATGAATTGTCACATTTGTCACATCTGCGACAATTTCACATGTTCACCAGTTAAAGTCTGCCATCCATTCTTTACAGTACAACCCACCCATGGAGCGGGTGCAATCACATAGGCTCCTGAGGGCGGCCTGGGCCACATCACATTCAAGCCCCTCACAGAAACACTAGAAAGCCAGACAAGCTTCTGGAAGCAAAGGCAGAAGAAGCGGAGGCGCTTCACTTAGCAATGGGCAAAATTATGTTGTAGAGTTATAGCATCTTAGCGGGGCATACAACTGTAACCCACGAAGGGAAGTTTCAAGGCTGGCGATTTCAGTTCATGCTAAGGAATTCAAAAGAAAATCCATCTGCAAAGAAATGGAAGAGGAAAGAAATGATGCTGGAACTGCAGACAAAGTGCCACAGATAAAAGAAAATGGATGCCTACTGTGGATGGTCATTTGATGTGTGGCTCAGCTCTACTCTATTTCTTTTATTGTTATTTTTGGGCCACACTTGGTGATGCCCAGGCCTTACTCCTGGCTCTGTGCTCAGGGGTCTCTCCTGACAGGGCTCGGAAGACCACATATGATGCTAGATTTCAAACCTGGGTCAGTTGCATGCAAGGCAAATGCCCTGCCTGCTTTCCTATAGCTCCACCCCTGAAGTTCTCCTCTTGGGAATCTACTGTGGGTGTGAGCACAAAGGACCAAATGCAGCCATGATCACAGGAGGTCCAGACTCAAGTTTCCAAAGTTGTTTGCTGCCTCAGTGAGGTTCACACTTCCGATGACAAATATAAAGCAGTAAGATGGTAATGCTCACAGTTCACAGTGCCTGCCCCATCATTTGTAAGGAAAGACAACTTGGGTGATTCTCATAGGTAAGGAGATGGGAGGAAGGAACAACTTTCCTGAAATAATTTCTTTTCATCTCTGGAGCTCTTGTGAGCTATTAAATACGTGCAAAGAGAATGGTTTGGCAGGGATCTCACTGGGCCCCCCATGAAACCATCAGTAACTTGGGAATATCTCAGAGACTGACCAAACACAGTGCTGAAGGATGGAGGAGTTATATAGGAGAGGGAAGGGGAGGGCTGCCTGGTCTTTATATTTTAGGTGTTTAAAAACAGCAACAACAAAAACGTCAAGCTTAGTGATGCAAACCAACTGCTAACACAAGGGTTTTTCAGAGGAAAACCAACCAACCAGCCAGCCGATGATGGTGGTGGTGGTGAAGGCAAGGTAAGTAAGGGGAGAAGTAATGTGAGGGGATCATCTGGATAGGGCTATTTTAGAGTAGGTGTGATAAGATTTAAACACACACACACACAGAGGGGCCGGATCCACAGCACAACTGGTCATGAACACTTGTCCTGTATGCTGCCAACCTGGGTTCGATCCTCAGCATCCCAGGTGGTCCCCGAAGCCCTGCTAGGAGTGATCCTTGAGCATAGAGGCAGGAGTACGACCAGAGCACTGCTGGGTGTGCCATCACACCCCCCCAAAAAGTAGGAAAAAATATTAAACACACACACACGTGCGCACGTGCACACACACACAAAGAGAATTCCCAGGATGCCTCTGTACACAAGGGTTGCTCCATGAAATAGCCGTTCTGTCTGTTCTCTGCACCACCACCCCCCCTCCCCCGCCCACCCGGGGCTGTTGACAGCAGAGAGAGCATGGGCAGGAGGCCCAGTGGGCCCAGAGCGAATGAGCCAAGCACTGCCGGCGGAGATGTTACCTGCTTTCCAGTGGTACATTACTGCCAAGGACCCAGCTGTCCTGCAGCTGGACGGACTCGGGTGTGGTTTGCAGCTCGGCGGGCAAAGCAGCCGGCGGGGCCGGACTCTGGTTCCTTCTATTGGTCAGGGAGTTCCGATTGAGGGAGGTGATGGATGGGTGATGCTGGGTAGGGTGCTGCTTTGGGGCAGGTGGGAGAGCCTGGAGCGTGGACTGGCCGTGGTTGTTCGCTGGTTGCTCTGGAAAACAAACAGGAAGGTCTTATTGCCCACATGTATCTGGTCGACACACTGCCCCACTAGCGACTTCCGGGGCGGGGGGGGGGGGGGGGGGGAATCTCTCGAAGACAAATTACCCCCAAGAAACTGTGTAGACGGTGGTGGGTACTAATCCATTTGCATATTATTCTATTAGGCATTTTTTTGGTGACACTCGAAGAGCGAGTTTACCCTTGATACACAAAGTTCTAATTAATATACAACAGATGGTAAAACTGCTTTTGGTTTTAATTTGTTGCGGAATTTTTTTCATCTGGTTTTATTAACACCTACAGAAAACAGCATCTGACAGCCCCCCTAATGTGCCTCTAGATTTCAGCTTTTTTTTTAACAAACCAACCCTGAAATTAAATGGGTAATTTCAGCAGAACACAAAGGTTTTTTTCTTATTTTTTTTCCGAAATGCATATAATCCCTATAATTATTTAATGGAGTTTTTTTTAAAGCTTTATTTAACTGCAATAAATTATTACAAGCTCGTTGCTGAACAGCGGTAGACGACTCCAGTTTAGTGCATTTCAAATAAGGCAGAGCTGCACTCTGCTCTCCTAATAGACGCTAAGTATTCTTTAGCAGAAGGTCACTCTGCGAAGCAGATGTTGTTTCATGGATATTTAACAGAGTGAATCACATCTGATTACAACGTCAGAAGCCTCATATACTTAATGACCGTTACATCCATTAGAACACACACAGAACAGATTTTCCAATTTCACAGTGCGCAGTAGAACCACATTTTGGAATAAGTCATAGGTGACCAAAGCTACTCAGGCCAGGGTGTCTGAAGTCCAGATAGTTGCCTTTCACCCAGAATCCTGAAGGAGTCAGTCATGTCAAAAGAGAAACACCACCGGAGCTTGGCAACTACAGAGAAATCCTCCAAAATGAAGATGTGTTAAGTGAAAATGCACAAATTAAGGTAACAACAACACAGCCCTACTTTTCAAACTCATTACTGAGCTTTGGATATGCTAGAATTCACAGACTACATTTTAGCCAAGAGATGGGTGATGCCTTCATTTAGGGCTGAATGTACGGATCACACACACACACACACACACACACACACACACACATACACACACACCCCATGTCAATTTGGGACTGAATACAAGCTCAGAGCGTAACACGATTTTAAAGCAATGGACTAAATCAGCTATTAATATAAATCCACCAATTAAGAGAGTGTAGAAAACACAGGAGCATTTTTCATCTAGAACCAGGAAGTCTGCAGTGATAGAAAGGTCAAATCCTATATCCCGACCCTGTCACTCTGGCTATATAAAATGAATATATGATAATTCCAGCGTGAATGTGCGTCATCCAACTTCTTTATAGAGAGTACCAAGAAAATTATTCCTTCCACTGCATATAATGTTAGTTACAGGGCATGTCTCTCTGATCTCTAATGATGCCTGTGGTTCAAGATTATTGTTTCCTCTTAAAATAGGGGACAGAGTAAATACTTAAATAGGTCCAATGGGGCTACCTCTCTGCACACATCTACCTATATTCTCGAAGACCCCCATACTAGAAGGACAAAAATCCCCGGGCCATTGTTTGGTGATCATGAAAAATGCTATGACTCTGTAACTCAATGACATCCATTTTTCCTTTGAGGAAATAGCAGGGTTTTCAAATGGCATAGAGTTATATCCGCACAACAAGAAATGAGCATTTCAAAACTCCGTGGGGCATTTGTTATTCAGCTCTCAGGGCCTCAGTGTGCTTTGTCACGCTCAGCATCAATGCCTCAGATGAGAAGCCCTTCAGCTGAGCACTGACTCGGCGGATGGCATTGGCAGGGACACAGAGCAACACTTCCAAGGGGTTAGGATAGTGCCTAGAAAGAAGCCGAGGGATGAATTATGAACAAATGGCATTATAACATGTGTGTCTATAGAATGAATGATACATTAGATATAATGGCATGCAGAAGAATGGTCAGTGTAGAAGCACTCTGAAAGCCAAATTGAATTCTATGCTATTGGACATTAGGATACTCTGTTTTCTCATCTGTACCATGAGAAATTAGATTGCCATGTCTGGTTACTAGTACAATCCTTAGACTGGACTCGTGCTTCTATTCCTTCATTCATTGACCCATGCGTGACTCATGTATCTGACAAACAATTATCAATCCTCTGTGTTCCCAGGATGTGCTAACTCAGAGACAGATGAAAGCACTGTTTTAATGATAAAACATAATGGGTATGAAGATGATCATTGAGAATGGAATGGTTTTTAAGGTCTAGTCATATCATTACCTATTACATAACATACCAAATTTAAGCTGCTTCTTCAACCTCCTTCCAAACGATCAGTGTGTGTGCAGGGGGAACCTTCATTTTAACATTTCAAAAATAATTAGTTGCTGTGCCTTTCTCTAGGTTGTCCCAATCATTGAGCCCTGAGAATTTCTGATTTTTTTTTTAAACCAAGAACTTCAAAGGTACCAGGCATCATGCAAAGACGCCTGGTTTTTCCGATGGTCTATCCGACTCAGTTCAGGCTTCTGTCTGCTGGGACCTCTTTTGATTTGACTACACAATCAGGAGGCTTAGCAATAAAACAAACCCAGCTCATCAAAGTGAGATCCGATCTAAATTTATGGAACAGAGTAAGTGCAGAGTGTGAAGGAGGTGGGCTGAGCCCCAGATATTGAAATTCCACAGTAGTCTACAAAGAGAACTGAGATCTGAGGGTTCAGTTGGGGTTATTACTCGTTCAGAAGATTGGGGCTTAAGGGACAGAGAAAAAGTTGAAATACGTATTTACCTATATCAACATATTCAAGAGAGTTAATTAAGCATATTTAGTAGAAACACAGGAAGAGTGAGAGAATAGAATAAATACCAAAGTGGGAAAGAAGTCAAAACCAGACACTTGATTTGTGGACAAAATAGCCACTACAATCGAGAAGTTCTAGAAACTTATAAAGCAGGATACAAATATGGTCCACAGTGATCAAGTTGCCAACATAAAAGGGAGAAACATGAATGGTTACGGGATGGGCAGTGCCTTTTAGATCCAAACCCTGCTATGCCAATCTAATCTCAGTAAGTAGATCCACACAGAAACCGTCAAAATTACTGCTGGAGCATTTGTGTTTATTTTCCCTTGGTGTGGGCTTTGCCCTTGGTGTGGGCTTTGCTCAGGCTGGAGGAAAAAGGCTCTACAGAGTAGCCAGTGTTCTTGAAAATAGACTTTTTTTTTAATTGAATCACCTTGAGCTACAGTTACAAAGCTTTCATGTTTGATTTTAAATCATACAATGATCAAACACCCATCCCTTCACCAGTGCACATTTTCCATCACCAATGTCCCCAGTATACCACCTCCCCTCATTTCCCCCCTTTCCAACCCTTGCCCTGCCTCTATGGCAGACAATTTTCCCCATACTCTCTCTACTTTTGGGCATTATAGTTTGCAATACAGATACTGAGAGGCCATCACGTTTGGTCATTTATCTACTTTCAGAACACATCTCCCATCCCGACTGATCCCTCCAACCATCACTGTCTTAGTGATCCCTACTCTATTCCAGCTGCCTTTTGCTCCCCAGACCTCTCCCATCGCTCATGAGGCAGGCTTCCAGCTATGAAGCAATCTTCCTGCCCTTGTATCTACTGTTCTTGGGTGTCAGCCTCGTGTTATGTTATTTTATACTCCACAAATGAATGCAGTCCTTCTATATCTGTCCCTCACTTTCTGACTCATTTCACTTAGCATGACACTCTCAATGTCCACCCACTTATAAGCAAATTTCATGACTTCATGTCTCCTAACAGTTGCATAGTATTCCATTGTATAGATGTACTAAAGTTTCTTTAATTAACCAGTCATCTCTTGAAAATAGACTTCTGAGCAGAAACTTCTGTTCCTGGGAAACTCTACTGGGAAATGCCTGAAAACTAAACAGACTTCCAAAGGTGATCTGAGGGCCTGCAGGTAAGGAAGGCCCTTGCTTTGTGTGGAACCAACCTTGTTTCTGTCCCCAGCACTCTGTGGGGTCCCCCAAGCACTGGATTACTGTACTCAGGATTACTCTTGAGCACAGAGTCAGGAACAGCCTCTGAGCACCTCAGGGTGTGGTCCCAAAGCCCCAAATAAAGGTGAAAATTGTAGTTAGTTGTTTAAAGAGAGTGCCACTGCAATATTTTTGTAAACCTTCCCCTCGAGAACATTATTGATGCGTCTTTGTGGTGGTAGAACTTGCTGCTTGCCCCGCTGCTGCTCCCTACATTTCCATGGATGCCAATTGATTATTGCAGATTTTGTGGTAATAGCATTTGGGGTGGTGGTGGCTAAGTGATCTTATAATGGGTGAGGTACTCACCTTACATGCAGTTCAATACCTAGCACTGCATAAGGTCCCTGGAACTCTGCCAGGAACGATCCATGAGCACAGAGCTAGGAGTAAGCCCTGAGCACAGCTGGATGTGGCCCCCAAAACATAAAGTAAAATGAAATAAAATAAAATCACTTTGATCAGGGGTAGACTCAAGGTTTACAAATAATAGAAAGATTACACTATATATGAAAATATACCATGTTATATAAAACACAACCAAAAGATAGGGATCTATAAAACATACCATTCCTTAAGACAGTATCTTCAGTTTGTATTTTGAAGTTTATGACTAGAGATGTTTTCAGAACATTTTAGGGAAGGTCCAGCCATTTTTCAATATCCTTCCCTACCTTTCTGAAAAATTAAACTCCTGGCATTCTACTTATGAGAAATGACGAATTAGACTCAACTCGTGTCTTTCTTCAAGCTCCTTCTGCTCTTCTTTTCTTGAGTTCTCGCTGCTCATATAACTTGCGCCAGAGCTTGAACGTTGCTTGATTTTGATAAATTGAACAAAAATTCTAGAGCTATTTTTAAAAACTTGCATCACATTAATTATAAATACTAGCCAGAGAAGACTTGGGTTATTTTGTTCAGCTTCTTGCTA